CACTTAACCGCTATGCCACGGGTCTGGCCCCGAAAGGGAATTTCAGATACCTCAGTTTAAGAGTTCTGCTACACTACAAGACTTCAGTAGCTGAACATTCCAGTTTCTTCTAATAAACATCCAAACTCAATAAGGTTTCATCCTGCCTATTTTTTAACAGCTTTATGTAGGTATAATTAACATATAAACTGTACATGTTTAAAGTGTACAATTTGAACAGCTTTGATGTGTGTACATACCCATGCAGCCATGACCACAATCAAGAAATGAACATATCCATCACTCCAGTTTTCCTACTGTCCTTTGTAATTCTTCTGTTCCACTCCCTACCTCCAGATAACCACTCAGTTGCTATATTTTACTTTCATGGGATTTTACACAGTCACTCAGCACAATTATTTTGTAACTTATTTCATTGTGTGTATCAATAGTTCAGTCCTTTTTATCACTGAGTTGTATTCTATTGTATAGCTGTATCACAATTTGTTTATCCACTCCCTGTTAGTGGACATTTTGGTGGTTTGCAGTTTTTAGTTATTACAAATGAAGCTGCTAGAACATCTGCAGATAAGTCTTTTTATAAACATTTGCTTTCATTTCTCTTGGTTAAACCAAGAAAACTAGGAGTGGAATGGCTGAGACATAGGTAAGTGTACATTGAAATTTTTTTTTTTTTTTTGTGAGGAAGATCAGCCCTGAGCTAACATCCATGCTAATCCTCCTCTTTTTGCTGAGGACGACCAGCTGTGAGCTAACATCTATTGCCAATCCTCCTCCTTTTCTTTTTTTCCCCCAAAGCCCCAGTAGATAGTTCTTTGTCATAGTTGCACATCCTTCGAGTTGCTGTATGTGGGACGCGGCCTCAGCATGGCCGGAGAAGCGGTGCGTTGGTGCGCGCCCGGGATCCGAACCCAGGCCGCCAGGAGTGGAGCGCGCGCACTTAAGTGCTAAGCCACGGGGCTGGCCCTACATTACACTTTTTAAGAAACTGGCAAACTTTTTCACAGTGGCTGTACCATTTTACATTGTCACTATTGGTGTACAAGGGTCCTAGTTGCTCCATGTTCTTGCCAACAGTTGGCCTGGTCACTCTTTGATTTTAAACATTGTAGTAGGTGTCTCGTGGGTTTAATTTGCATTTCTCTGATGATGATGAGCATCTTTTCAGGTGCTTGTTTGCCATCCTTATATATTGGCAAAGTGTTCAAATCTTTTGCTCATTTTTTACCTAGATTTTCTCATGATTGAGTTTCAAGAGTTGTTTGTTCTGCATGTAAGCTACTTATCAGATATGTTATTTGCAGTCATCTCCCAGTCTGTGGCTTGCCTTTTCATTCTCTTAACAATGTCTTTTTAAAACGTTCCACCTGTTTTTAACACTACTTCTTAATTTACAGATGGTCAAATACAGGGGCATCAGTGAGTGAGTTTTGGCTAATCACATGGTTAAATTTGCTTAGCAGAAAGCTAGATAGCCTCCATATATAATTGATGTGTAGTTCTCTTAATATCTGTCTAGTTTTCTGATCACTAACCCGATCTTGCTTAGAACATGCTTCACAGGTGTGGAATTTTTTGTTTGTTTTTCCTTAACAGAGAAGCCTGATGTCAAAGTAAAATTTTAAACAGTTAAAAACAACTCATATAATTATTTAGTGTGCACTTGTCAAGGATTTATTTGTCAATAATTAAGGAACCAGCAGGCTACAAAATAGATCCAATTGAGTATACACCTGAAAAACATGCAAACTTACTAATTATCTACATGTTACCATTGAACTATGCAAAGTCTGGACCCTAACTCTTAATAAATAGTCAAACAGAGTTACATTTTCCTCTAGAAAATGAGATGATCTTTCAGTGGACTTGGTAGACAAGGCCCTAGTATGGCTTTGAAAGGGC